CACTGTGCACCACCGTTACCTCGTCGGGTGCATAATACTCCTCAATATCCGCCTCACCATCCACAGCAGGTTCCTTCCCAATTATAACTTTATTAGGCCGAAATTTCTTTTCTCGCTTGACCTTCCCATCGGTAGCCTTATTATTTGGTACACGTGCCTCACAGCATAACCGAGTGACTAGTGATGGGAAAAAAAACCCATACCTCTGTACTGGACAACAAATTGTCATCTTATCTTGAATGACCTTAGCCACATCAAAGTCGTATGCAGTGACAAAGCACTAAATCGGACTAGCTTGGGGACCATTTACCTCAGTTGTGTTACTAGAAGGCATCAGGCGGTTATTAATTATGTATAGCCAGCACTTCCCCTCAAAAGTGAGTGAAGCAGAGTGAAATTTATGGCCTTGGATCAACCATACCACTTTCTTCTAGGGCATACAGATAGTCACAAAGAACGTGAGCCATAGGTATGGTTCCCTATTGTAAGCAAAATAGTAGTTGTCTGCATCAGGGTCTTCCATGTACTCCGACAAGTTATAGGCCCTTTGGATGGCCTCCTTGGAGAAGTCCACTTTATTCTTCCGGACTGTGTACACATAGTCCTCATGTTTAGGGAAATTCACGTAGAAATCCCGAACAACCATTAAATTTGCCTCCAGGTTCTTCGACGAACACTCTCATTCCTCGCCTGACCAATTCCTCATATACTCTGTGACAGTCATTTTGGAGAAACCCAATATCGATTCCCCTTTCCGGTATGGGCTTTTTGCCTTTTTTTCTATTAAATTATTTTTGGGCTTCCCATGAGATAAACTTATTATGATCATCTAGACGAGCAGATACAAAAGCTCGCGACCTGGACGTGCCCACTTGACTACCGTTGGAGGCACTTACAATTTTTCATTTCTTGAAGGGAGCCATTGAACCTGAAACAACCCGCCAAATATCAGCAATTAAATCACTCAGCAGACCAAGAAAGGCTACTCAGACTTCACCCTCACACTTGGACACAAAATTATACTCTCAACCTCATTGTGGCATTTACACAAACACTTAACATGAAAAGTTGTTCCTATTCCCCCACAAAACAAATTTTAACCCTAGGTGGACTACATATATACCAATTTTACTACCTAGAAACCATGTTCTCATTACACATGGTGAAACTCAATCTTTACCCCACAAGAAAAAGAAAAAGAGCGAGAAAGAAAAATAAAGAACTACAAAAGAAAGAAGAAGAAGAAAAACATAGACAAAATAAAGTTACATACTTGAAGGAGCAATTAGAAGAAACACATTGGAGGGAGGGGTGGTGTGTGATTTGTTGTGAAGAGTGATTGGGAAAGGTTGGGGCAGATTAGGGTTTGTGTTAGTGAAAGAGGAGAGAAAAGAGGGGAAAGATTAGAAGGGGGGTTGAGGGTTTGGGCAAAAATTAAAAGGGGAGGGTACTTACATGTGCACGGCCGCGCACATATGGCAGTACACTGGTGCACATGTGCGGTCGTGTACGCGGTCCACCCTTCAGGTGCACGGCCGCACATGTCCCAGCATAGGCTGATGACGTAATTTGCACGAACACATGCGCGGTGTACCGTTCTAGATGCGCGGTCGTGCACGGGTACGCTCACAAGGAGTCTTTTAAAAGCCTCAATTCCGACCTTCCGTAACATATACCTTCCTGCACCCACCAAGTCATAATATACACTAACCTTTACCTAATCTACGCTACAAGAAAGAAAGAAACAAGAGGAAAAATTTAAGCTAGTAGAAAAGTTAGAGGTAGTTCTGAGTTATAGTTGTCAGCTTGACTCAACCAGGCATCCTCAACTGATTATGATGCTCGAGGATTTCTGAGCAAATCCTCCAGCAAGATATGGTTTTAGCATGTGCCCATTCACTTTGAAACTCTCTGTTCAGTCCATGTTCTAGATCTCAATCACCCCATATGGTGATACATGTTTCACCACATACGGTCCCGTCTATCTAGACTTAAATTTTTCGGGGAACAATCTGAGTCTACTATTGTATAGTAAGACCTTTTCCCCTTCTTGAAATTCATTCGGTTTAATCATACGGTCATGCCATTTCTTCATCTTTTCCTTGAACATTCTCGTATTCTCATACGCGTCCAATCTGAATTCCTCCAGCTCATTCACCTATGACCTTCTGTGTTCACCTGCAAGACTAAGATCAAGATTAAGCAATTTAATTGCCCAATGAGCCTTATTCTCTATCTCCACAGGTAAGTGACATAATTTTCCATATACCAATTTGAAGGGTGAAGTCCCTATGGTTGTTTTGAACGTTGTTCTATACACCCATAGAGCTTCATCCAACTTGACTGACCAATCCTTTTTGGAAGAATTAACCATTTTTTCTAGAAGTCTTTTGAGTTCACGGTTAGCTACTTCTACCTACCCACTAGTTTGAGCATGATATAGGGTTCATATTTTATGAGTTACCTCATATTTAGACAGCAGAGTGGCAAACTGTTTATTTGAAAAATGTGACTCATTGTCACTGATGATGACTCGGGGAGTTCCAAAGCGGGTGAAAATATTCTTTCGAAGAAATTCACATACTACCCGAGCATCATTGGTCCTAGTGGGGATTGTCTCGACCCACTTGGAGACGTATTCAACGGCCACTAGAATTTACTCATAAGAATGGAACGGTGGGAAGGAGACCATGAAGTCGATGCCCCAGACATCGAAGATTTCGCATACCAAAATGGAATTCAGGGGCATCTCATCCTTTTTACTAATGTTACCTATCCGTTAGCACTTGTCACATGTAGCCACGTAAGATCTTGCGTCCTTGTACAGAGATGGCCAGTAAAAACTGGCCTCAATGACCGTCGCTGCTATCCTATTTCCTCCATTGTGTCCTCTAGTTGATCCATCATGATAACGGGATAATATACTTCCCATTTTTCCTTCGGGTACGCATCTCCGAATTACACCATCTGCATATAATTTAAACAAAAAAGGGACATTCCAGAAGTAATATTTTACCTCGCTTTGCAGCTTCCTTTTCTGGTCGGAGGTCAAGTCGTGTGGTAGCCTTCCACTAGCCAAAAAGTTAGTTATGTCGGCGAACCATGACGGTCTATCAGAGATCGCTGCAATGGAAAAAATCTGCATATCTGGGAACTCTTCCCGAATGTCCACTTCTTTAACATGTGGTTTCTCCAATCGCGACAGGTGGTCAGCCACTTGATTTTTTGTGCCCTCCTGTGTTTGATTTCTAAATAAAATTCTTGCAGAAACAATACCCACCGCATCAAATGTGGTTTGGACTTTTCTTACTCAGTAAATACTTCAGTGTTGAGCGATCAATATGCACTATTACCTTGCTTCCTACTAAATAGGATATGAATTTGTCAAAAGTGAAGACCACTACAAAGAACTCCTTCTTCGTGATAGCATAGTTCACCTGGGCATCGTTCAAGGTCCGTCTTGCATAGTAAATAGGTCTGAATATTTTATCTCTCCTCTACCCCAGCACTGCTCCCACTTCCACATCACTGGCATCACATATGATCTCAAAGGGTTCACTCCAGTCAGGAGTCACCATTATGGGAGCACTCACTATCTTTTCCTTGATCAGTTCGAATGATCTAAGTCACTCTATATCGAACACAAATTTTACATCCTTGGTAAGTAATGTTGTTAAGGGCTTGGTAATGTTGGAGAAATTCTTGATGAACCTTCTATAGAACCATGCATGCCCCAAAAAACTTTTGATGCTTTTCACTGAATTCGGTGGTGGGAGCTTAGCTATCACATCTACTTTAGCTTTGTCGACCTCCTTCAGCTATGACTTTATGGCCCAAGACTATCCCCTCCTTAACCATGAAGTGACACTTTTCCTAGTTGAGTACTCGGTGAGTGTCCTCACATCGTTTTAGAACAAGTTCGAGATTCCTCAAGCAATCCTTGAAGTCATCTCCAGAGAGAGTAAAGCCATCCATGAACACCTCCAAACACTTCCCATTCAAATCTAAAAAGATTGACATCATGCATCTCTAAAATGTAGTTGGTACTTTGCATAGGCCAAAAGGCATTCTCCGGTATGCAAAGATTCCGAAAGGGCAGGTAAAGGTGGTTTTCTCAACATCTTCGGGAACAATGGGTATTTGATTGTATCCTGAATGTCCATTTAAGAAGCAGTAACATCAACGCCCTGCCACCTTCTCCAACATCTGATCAATGAAAGGAAGAGGGAAGTGATCCTTCCTTATTGCATCATTTAGCCTTCGGTAGTCTATGAACATCCTCCAACCAGTAACTATTCTGGTAGGAATTAACTAATTGTCCTCATTTTTCACCACCAGCATGCTTTTTTTTTCGGCACAAACTGCACAGGGCTGTTCTATTAGCTATCAGAGATGGGAAATATTATACATGCATCCAACAATTTGAGTATCTCTTTCTGCACCACCTCCTCAAGGTTTTTATTCAATTTGCGTTAAGGTTGCACTACCGGTTTGCTCCCTTCTTCCAACAGGATCTTGTGCATGCAGATTGCAGTGTTGATTCCCTGAATATCGGCTATGCTCCAACCGATTGCCTTCTTATGCTTCCGTAGTAACTCCACGAGCATGTGTTCCTGTTCACCTATCAAATCAGCAGCAACAGTCACAGGAAAAATGTTAGTCTCTAAAAAAATATATTTCAAATGTGTCGGGAATACATTCAATTCCAGCTTTGGCTTGATCTTTTCTTTCTCCCGTTCTTCTTCGTCTACCATATAATCTTCATCTTCCAGTGCCACAATTTCCTTCTTGATTTCAAGATCTTCATCCTCTATTGTACTTGATTGACTAATACGTCTCTCAAATGAATCGCCTACCATCTTGTTCAGCTTGTGTTGTTCCGCTAACTCTCTCACCACATCCATCTTGAAACAAGCATAGGCAGAAGACTCACCACATGGGTATTTCATCATTCTCTTCATTTGAAATACCACTTTTTCGTTTCCCACTCGTAACATGAGTTAATCCTCATATATATCAAGAATAGCTCGGCCAGTGCAAAAGAATGGTCTCCCTAGGATTAGAGGTATCTCCTTAATCACTTCTATGTCTACTACAATAAAGACTGCTGGGAAGGCAAATTTTTCCACCCTCACTAGAATGTCCTTGATTATGCCCTCCGGTATGATCGTGGTCTGATCAGCCAGTTGCAACGATACCGGCACAGACTTGATCACTCCTAGTTCTCCTTCAAATTTCTTGAACACAAATAATGGCATCAAGTTAATGGATGCACCTGAGTGACACAAGGCCTTGTCAAAAATGTTGCTCCCCAATGAGCAGGGTATAGTGAAACTGCCAGGATCCCCACACTTTTGAGGAATTTTATTTTGTAGAATGGCACTGCAATGTGCATTGAGTTTGACCACTTTTGTTTGCTCGAGCTTCTTTTTACTTGAAAGTATTTCCTTCAGGAACTTTGCATAAGTTGGCATTTGGGTTAGCACCTCGGTGAATGGGATGTTCACATATAGCTGTTTCAGCATCTCTAAGAATTTCCCAAAGCATTTATCGAGTTTCTCCCACTTTATCTTTTGAGGAAAGAGTAACACTAGCATGTGTTTGCTTTCATCAATTGCACTGCTTAATTTCTGCTTATCAACCTCTTTGCTGCTAATATCCTCCTTAGGAAAAAAATCACCAATTTTATGTTCTTCTGCCCTCTTGGTTGAGTTGATCTCCTTCTCAGCCCTTGGTTTTTCAATGGGCTCTGCTAATGTTTTCCCACTCCTGAGAGACACTGCCATGATCGTCTCTTTTGGATTCTTCTCACTGTCTGCCGGCAAAGTCCATGGAGCCTTTTCTGATAACAATGACTTGAGTTGTCCCATTTGTCTTTCTAGATTTTTGATGGTTGTGCCTTGCTCCCGGATAGTTGTTCCTTGAGTCTCAAGTTTATCATCTGATTTATTTATGAATTCCTTCATTAGATCTTCTAACTTGAGTTGTTGGGCTGTGGAGGCTGGTATAGTTGCCTCTGTTGATTCTGGAAACTGGGAGGTCCTTGCACTGGTGCTGTGGGATTTTGCTGCTACCATGAGTTCAAGCTACCATTTGAAGAACTCCATGAGAACTCTGGATGTTTCTGTCCCATCGAATTGAAATTACCACCTCCTTGGTAGTTGCCATTGTCGAAATTCCCCAATGCCTTAACGTTTTCTTCTGCGGTGAAGGTTTGGCACTCATGAGTTAGGTGTCCCAACCCACAGATGCCACATCCCACATATGGTTGATTTTTCACCTGATCCATCGTCAGTTGCTTGATGTCCTTAGCCATAGATGCAATTTGGCCTTGCATTGCTACTGACGATTCTACTTGGTGCACCCATGTTGATGTTTTTCGATCCCCTTGGTCAGTGGACCATTGTTCTGCGTCTTCAGATAGTTCATTCAGAAGTGTGACAATCTCTTCTGGAGTTTTCTTCATCAGAGGGCTTGCAACCACACTATTCAGCAATCTCCTTGATGACGAGTTTAACCCGTCCCAGAAATCTTAGAGTTGCATCCATTACTCTATTCCGTTATGAGGGCACCTTCGCAATAGCTCCTTAAATATTTCCCATGCCTCAAACACTGTCTCCCCTTCACCTTGGCTGAAATTGTAAATCTCCTTACTCATCCGTCAAGTCTTAGCAATAGAAAAATATTTTTCTAAGAACTCGGTAGTCATCTCCTCCCATGTACGGATTGACCCTGTGGGTAGACTTTTCAATCACTGCTTTGCATCATCCTTAAGTGAGAAAGAGAATGCTCTAAGGTAGATGACATCATGTGATGCTCCATTATAGCAGAATGTGTTCATAATTTCATCGAAGTCCATCTGATAGTTGTTGGGATCTTCATTGGGTTTGCCTCTGAATATGCAGTTGTTCTGAATGGTCTAGATGACTCCCTACTTGAGTTCAAAATTGTTGGCATCAATGGGTGGGGGCCTCACACTAGATTGTTGATGGTTGTACACTGGTCTGGCATAATCTCCTAGAGACCTCCCAGGTCTGGGAGCTGCATTTTCAAATTCATCTTCGACCATGGTTTGGTTGAGATTGAGCCTTCGATCCTCGTCGACTGTTTCATCAGCAACTCTAAGGGATGCTTCAATTGTTAACCGTGCATCCTGTTGTTGAGCTGCCTCTCTCGCAACTAAGTTTTCATCCTTTTCATTGTTCACCGTTGTATTTTGAGTCGAAGGGTGACCCTGATCTCGCCCAAATCACACCTCAGTTTGGGGTTCTGAAGCGGTCGATTGCAATAATATACCCAACTAGGAGTCGGGATAGAATCCTCAGGGAGCATAGATGGGATTAGGTATATATTTGGACTAAGCACGTAAAATGTCTAAGATGCATTTCCACAAACTGTGTTTTGATTCTACTTCTAAATTATGCTACGGTATGCAAATGTAAAGCTACAGAATAATATTTTGGTGTTGTTTTTCAAGTATGTAAACGATGTAGGATTGTGACTTCCACCTAGGTGTTTGCCTAACGGGTTGTGGTCTTTAGGACAGGTTTGGTAGGTCGGGGTATAATATAACAATCAACACGCAATTACCCACTCAATACCTCTCGGTAAAAGAGTGATTTTGCCCAATTTGTCTTTGTCAAGTCCAAATGGGTAATTCACAAAACAGTTGATAGATGCTCAAGTCGGGTTTTACTATCTTTGGATTTAACCCTTTAATTGGGACTATCAATTTCTTGAGTTCACCCCAATTTCTTGTTAGCCAAGTTTTCCTAGACTCAGTCTCTCTTTCTCAAGTAAAGACTAAGTCAAATATGCTTGAATCAATATTTGCAACCATTAATTCTATAATTAAAGCAAGAACTAGGCTAAATATTACACACCCAACCATAAACAAGCCCTAAATCAAACACCCATTAGGTACCCATACTAGGGTTGGGTCACAACCCTAGCTAGAAGTTTAGCTACTCATAGATGAAAATGAAGAAATTAAAGAAGAATAGAAGATTAAACTCATATTCAATGATAAAGAGATAAAAATCCAATGTAAAATAGACAAACTATCATAAAATTCCCTAAAGCGGTAATAAAAACGGCTCCCAACTTTCAGATGTTCAAACTTTTACCTAATTTTGTCAAAAAAGACTATTTATACGCAGCTATACTTTTCGGACAAAATTGTCTTTTCAGAAGTTCTGCGGCCGCACAATTCTGTGTGCGGTACACACTTTGATGCAGAGCTTGAAAGGAGGGACTTCTGTGGCCGCACAATTCTGAATTGTGGCCACACTTCTTCAGGTGTTGTGAACCGCACATTTCTGAGTGCGGCCGCACTCTTGAGTTCTACGGTCGCACAATAATAGCGCGGTCCACACTTCTTGATGGACTTAAAGTTGGGACTCTCTAATCTTCCTCTTTAGCGGCCACACAATTATTGTGCGGTACGCACTTTTCAAAGAAGTTCTGACAGAAATCCTTTCATGATCTGCGGCCGCAGACAAAATCCCGCGGTCCGCACTTTACCCTTTTTGCCTGGTTTTAGTCCTTGTCCAAAAATACTCCTTCTTGAGTTGGATTTCATCGCTTTGGCTCATTTTCCAATACTCCTGCAAGAAAGCATATTTTATCAGTTTTCGGGAATACCTTTAAGCATTTTTGAGCTAAAATGAAAGTAAAAAGAGCACAAATAAGTAGTCAAAATCCCCACTTATCAACTCCCCCAAACTTAAGCTTTTTCTTGTCCTCAAGCAAATAAGGTAATTCTCACCTCCACAAGAAAAGAGCTATTTCAGCTAGCCTAAGGTGAATCAAACACACATCAATTGGGACCAACAATTACCCACACATATGAATTATCAACAAGGCACTGTTTTGAAGGTTAAAGCACAAATAACTCTAATGTGATACTTGAGCATCAAGAGTTGACTTTACTCATCAAGGAAGTTCGCACTTTCATGTAGGTCACTGTGGATCCCAAACTCCTCCTCATATACTCTCTGTTAGCTCATCTCACTTAAGAATGTAGCACTCAATTTAATGACTTGTGAAAAGTTTGCTCATCACTCTCAAAAGAATGTCACAAGTACGGCTCTAAGTACCATATGTTTGCCCCTTATGTAGATCACCATTAATGTAAGCTTACTCGGCTTGAAATCACGTAGGAATTTTTCAGCATGTAATGAAGGCTTTTAGACTAAGGTGAAAAATGTTGGAATAGAACGGGTTTATCTTTCCTTAAGCACTCCATTTTCTCTTTTTGGCTCATGCTTTTGCCGAATCTTTGAGTCACTTTTTTTTTTCTTAGGGGAACTAGAGAGACTTGACATCACTCTTTCTTGGTCATGATATTCACATTCTCCTTCTTTGTTTTCTCCATGCTTTGCACTTTTGCTATTCTTTGAATCCCATCAACTCTTCACTTTATTCACTTTCTTTTTGTGTTTTTCTTTTGTTCTTTCTTTCTTTTTCTTTACCTTTCCTTTTCTTAATTTCTTTTCTCTTTTTGTACCTTGATACCACTTTGAAACTCCTCGTCTCTCCCCCAAATTAATGTTTTCACCATTTGTTTCTCATGAGTGCTAAGGAAAGCTCGGGTTCCAATAGAGGGTCACTATCAAACGGGTAAAGGCTTGTAACATAGTTATCAAATGAAAAAAGGCTTTAGGCTCAAATGGGTTGACTAGGGATAACATCATTGGTGGGCCATGAAAAGTTTCAAAATGGGTCAAAGAGCCTATAATCACTTCTCAAGCCAAGCAAAACTTAGAATTTCGATTGGAAATACATTCGGGGAAAGTTCTAGACCATTTGCACGGGTACTTGGACTTGTAACAAAATATCTCACCTCTCACACAGCTGGATTGTTAAAGAGGATAGAGTCGAGGGCCCACAACAACTGTATTCAAGATTAAAAATCGCTAATGGTTCAACTAAACCACTCGATGATTGCCTAAGTCAACACAAGAGTCACAAGGTCACTAACTAGAGCCATTTCTTTTTAAGAGCTTGTTTTTAACCAGGTACCAAGTGAAGCATGCTTGACTCTTTTATTCATTATTACTACTGTTTTTACCTAAATATCAAAAACGGACTCAATCCCTTAAGAAGGTTGTCACTCCATCCATCGTTGGGAAGAACCATCCGGTTCACACAAAATCTACATTTGGAAAGAACCGTGGCATTAAGAAAACCAAAGGCTTATTGATCACTTAAACGTAAAAAGAAGCTACCAAATCAAAAAGAAGTTATTAAAGTAAATAAGAAGCTAGACTATTAAGAAAGCAAAATAAAGAAACTATGAAATAAACTACTGAAAGCAAGAAAAATGAATATGCAAACCGAGAATGGGGGATAGAATATATACATCAAAAGAGTGGGAGGAATATATACATAATGAAAAATAAAATAAAGATAAAAAAGAGTATTATAGTTGTAATCACCTAATATTTTCCCCACATGGGAAATTACACCTAAAAATAGTCCATAATTAATTTTAATGGTTTTATAGAATTTTAGGAGTTTTTCTTTTATTTGTTTTGCATCATTCGCATTGTTAAAACAAAAATTACAAAAATATACATTAGCTTTAATCAATTAGTTTAATTAATTTTTTAAAATGCTAATTAGGTCATTTTTGGCAAAACAAATTCAATTAGTAGTAATGTGGCTATTTTTAAAAGATCAAATAAAATAGGAACAAGGTCTTCTGCTTCTTGTTCCAAATTGGCCCAATTCCAGCGGCCCAAAACCCCACATGCCCGACATGCCTGGCCCAACCTACCCCCATCTTCATTAAAACACTCCACATTCCCCAAAACTTAGGAAAAAGGAGAACGACTCATCTCCCCCACATTCAGAAAACCTTAGCCGCCTCATAAATCCCCTCTCTAATCTCACTGATCTCTCACTATCACATATGGATACACACACGAAATCCATCATCTTTGCATTTCCATCAGAAAAGTTCACACGTAGACTCTCATTCAAAAGACGGAAGAAAGAGATATGAAAATACAGACCCCGTTTATATTCCTCTCATACTCTACTCATCCTCACTCTGCAAAAGAATCTGAAAATTTTATCAGAAGAAACAGAGAAGAGTCTAAAAACTAAAAAATTTAAGGATTTGAAAATACTAAAAAACTTCAACAAAAAAAGGGGAAGGAAATAGGAGCGCAAAAGATATTCCACAAGCATTCAATTTCTCCCCCTCGGCTTAGCATTTCTTGGTCTGTTTAAACACTGTTGGTGGAATAGCTGTGGAGTGCTTCTTGTTAAGGTACTTTTTCTTGATTTTGATTATGTAATTTGATTTGGGTTGAACTATATCTTCTAAAAATAATTACATGAAGCTACAGGTTCTTCTCCGTTGAGTTAGTGTTTGCTATCACTGATTTGTATGCCTATGTTATTTGAGTATGAACTGGAATTAAGTGCTATCATGAAACTACATGTTCTTCTCTGTTGGGCTAGTATTTGTTATCACTGACTGGTATATTTATGTTTATCTTATGTATGAATTTGATGGATTAACTGCTATGGAAACCGTGACTTTACATAAGGCCTGTTTCTGGGCCCATGTTGAAAGAGTATGAAGTCCAATATTACTGTCCCTCATTTTAGATCTCCCTTTCATCATTAATTGACTACCTTCTCTTGAAATTGAGTAGTCCCAAACGTATTCAACCCATAAACGAATTTAAATGACTGGGAAGTGTAAACTCGTCAATAGCTCGAATTCAGTTTAGCTGATTGCAGGTCCACAAATAACTCCAAAATTCTAGACCTCCACATGTAATCTTAAACCTTAGGAAAATATTTAAACTCATAAACATACGTAGTTTCTCTTAAGCTCGACTAATATTAAATCATCGTGACTATGGGTACGGTTCTCGTTGCATAGTCACGATACGTAAACCCCAATTCGAGTACGTGTTTCACGCGACTTGACCATAACATCAAAATAATAAAATAAACATGATCCAAATCACGGGTACGTTTCACGTGGTGCGATTCACAATATGTACAAAAACAAACGAGTGTGCGACATCGCGGCTTGTTCAAACAAATTCCATAAATGCTAAGAGCGATTAAAAAAAAAAAAATATTTAAAAGCGTTTAGAAAGAAATTAAAAATAGTTTTTAAACATTTAATAAATCAGATAATTAGGCGAATTATTAATAGTTGAGCGACCGTGCTAAAACCACGAAATTCGGGAGTGCCTCACACTTTTTTCCGGGTTAACAGAATTTCTTACCCGGTCTTCTAAGTTTGCGGACCATAAATAAGAGTCAATTTCCTCGATTTGGGATTTTAAAATAAACCGGTGACT